AGTAGATATCAGTGTGAGCCAAAGATATAGTTATGAACTTAATTGGTGTATGTCTGAAAAATATTTTAATAAGTGCTGCTTTCCAGGTACTATGTGTAACATCCACATGTCCAAATTACCTGAAATATGTTGTCTAAGGCATTCATAATTACCTGAGGAGTATTAGCAGAGATGACAAGATAGCATACCTTGCCCCTCCTTAATAAGTGGACTGAATCACCCACTAGAATTCAAAGCAAATATAAGCAATTTCACACAACCTTTTTCCTGTATGTATAGCAGCTTTGTGAGAACAAAATACCTACTTCTTGTGTTTTCTTTTCTCTTTTCCTCCCTTTAGATGAAATTTGACAAGGAAGGAAATCTTACCTCTTTTGGTAGGTAGAGTTTTCATTTTCTTTTCCTATTTGCTCTTTTGTGCAATATAGAATTGTCTAAGTGGAAGTTTATACTGGACAGAGAGTTCAATTCAAGAAGCTTTCATGGGTTTAGATAACTGTCGGTGTTGCAGCATTTCCCTTGGTTTTGCTCGTCTGTTCTACACAAATTCTTATACTGCATTCATCACAGTAGTATCTGAGCACCTTCTGATAGTGCATTAAGCAATATGACTACCATCTGTCGTGTGTGATTCCGTTTTGCTTTCATCCTTTTCCTCTTTGTCCCAGTCCATCACCAGTATATTTTTCCTTCCTGGGATACCTTTGTGACATGACACGTGCTTGACATGAGCTTTGCTAATGTGTTCTAACATGAAACGTACTGTCTTTGCCTGTTAATGTGGTTACTTTTAGACTTTTCTTTATTAATAAACAAAGGGAGTTCTCTTTCACCCAAGTTATGACTATTTTGCTGTGTTAGACAGAATTATATTGGATGATCAAGGGGGGAAAGCACTATCGAGTTAGTTTCTTTCTGGGACTGCAAAACAGACTAATCCATAATTATAAAACATGTTACTTTTCCCAGATAAGATTTTTCTTTTTAAATGTCTTCTTGGTAGAAAGAAAGAAAACAGAATTGTACCAGGAACTGGGTCTTCAAGCTCGAGATCTACGATTTCAGCATCTAATGAGCATTGCAACTAGAAACAACAGGATTATCATTAGAATGGAGGTAAAGTGATATTTTTATTTTCATTAACTTCAGTGGGTCTTAAATCTCTTTATAGGTGTCAATAGACATTAAAATACACTTGAACTATGTCTCAATTGCCAATACAGTCATGTTCTAGTGAGATCCAGGGGCCCTTTTAATACTGGCTATCTATGGCCTTGCATATATTATTATCCATCTGTCCTTAACCCTGGCACTGAATATCTAGCAAACAGAAGCACTTCATGTTGCACTTCATAATAATGAGCTCCTTGTCTTTTGTAGAATGGCCGTCTCTATTCAGGAGGGCCAAAATTTTTCCCTTTGTGGGCATGATGAGAATTTTTAGAGGCACAGGATGAGCACAGCTAAAAATGTGGAGAATCTTTCTTTCTTCCTGTCCCTCCAGTAACACCAGAGGCCTCCTCGAGTACACTAAAGAAAGTGCTTCCGATGTCAGTCCGGTCCATATACTTCAGGGGTTGGGGGGAATGACAGTGGAAGATAGACACTTGGGTACCCTGGACACGAGTGTGGCAAAACAAATCTAGGTAAATAAAAAACAAAGCTTATCATAACAGTCCCCTTATGGGAAGTGGGTTTATTGAAAACCGAATTCTGAAATGCATTAAGTGGCAGTGAGAAAATTGGAAACCTTCATAAAGTATTAGCTGGCTGCCTAACTGCATTCTCTTTTTCAGTTTTTGAAGGCTGTGGTAACACCAGAGTTTCTTCTGATACTAGATTATCGCAATTTAAATATGGAGCACTGGCTGTTCCAAGAACTTGCATCTCAGCTGTCTGGAGAAGGTCAGCTAGTTACATATTCCTTGCCCTTTGAATTTAGAGCCATAGAAGCAATACTGCAATATTGGGTGAGCTTCTGGTTACTTTAGCTACTTTTGAAAATGTTGTTTCATGGGAATGACAGTTTAATTTTCTGTTCTGGAAATATTTAGGAATATTTTTAGGAATATTTTGGGTTTGCTTTAGGCTTGTTTTGTTGTTGTTTCTTTCGGTTATGGGGGATCTATACAAACATTTAGCAGTGAGGAGAATTAACTATTGAAAGAACTTACCAAGGGACATGATGGATTCTTCATCACTTGGAGTTTTTAAATCAAGATTGACAGATATATGCTGAAACATAAAAGTTATGTTTGCTGCCGAAATTACTGGGGGAGGTTCTCTGGCCTGTGTTATTTAGTAGGTCAGACTAGATCAGCATTTCTCGAATGCGACCCCCAGGGGCTTTTCTTGTGGCCACAGCCTCCTGGGCAGTGACCGGGGGGCGGGAGGAGGCGGGGAAAGCAGTGGTTTGTCCCCCAGGGCCATCAGCAGGGGTTGGATCCTGTCTCCCCCCTGGATCCATGAATACTGGAAGAGCAGACAGCCAGTGACTTCCCTCCCTTCCCAGGAGTTGGGGGGCTCAGGCTTCAGCCTTGGGATGGCGGGCGGCAGGCTCCAACTGTGGGGCTTCAGGCTTTGGTCTAAGTTCCCTCTAAGCTGTGCAGCAGGCTATCAAGGCTGCACAGGTGGGGAGAGGTGCCTCTTCTGCGGCCCTGCCCCAGCCAGGGAAAGGCATCTCTCCCCTGGCCCCAGCCCCGGAGCTGCTTCGGTGAGGAGAGGCACTGTCCTGGCTGCTATGACAAGAGAGGGCTGGGGGAAGTCCTCTCTCCCTGCCACAGCCCCAGGCAGCCTGCATCCCAAACCTCTCATGCTGCCCCACCCCAGAGCCCACACACCCCATCCCCCAATCCTCTGCCCCAGCCCTGAGCCCCCTCCCGCACCCCAAATCCTTCATCCCCGGCCCCAGCCCAGAGCCCGCACCCCCCCATTCCCCAATCCTCTGCCCGAGTCCCCTCCCGCACCACAAACCCCTCATCCCCAGCCCCACCCCAGAGCCCAGACCCCCAGTCAGAGCCCCCAACTCCAACCCTCTGCCCCAACCCCCCCACACATCATCTCCATATTGGGGCACATCATAAAATTCATTCCACACAGATCTAAAAAAATTAGAGGGAACATTTGGCTCTATCCCTGGACCCCAGCCGCACTGCGGCAGATGCTAGCCTTGGGCTCACCACCACCCTGTATCGCCTCTGGCCCCCATTGCCTCCCTACCCACCTCCCCATCCAGGACTTTATTTGTCTCCTGGCTTGCCAGGACTGAGTAAGTCTGCTGTGAAAATTGATATTTGTGTGTTTGTTAATATCACTTTTCACTCCCTCCCAGCTAGTTAGTAAGTCTGGTGTGAAAAGTGATATTAACAAACACACAAATATCACTTTTCACAGCAGCAGACTTACTAGGTAGCAAATCTTTTCAAAAGAAACTACAACCAAAAAAAAGACAAGAATGTGCAAAGCCACTTTATTTGTGTTTCTATTCTGCGTAGGTCCAGTAAAGAATAGCGACAACTGTACAGTATTTTTATTATTGAGTCTGAAAAAATACCCTATAAATTATTATTTGGATACGTATAGGTGCATATTTATTTGTTTTTCATAAAGTTAATTAAATATTTTAGGAAAAATTGTCAGAGCGGCCACCAGCAAGAATTAGTGGCCGCACTTTGAGGCCACCAAAAAAATTGTTGAGACCCCCTGGACTAGATGATCATGATAGTCCCTTCTGGCTTTAAAGACTATGAATGTTAATGGAAATATGACACCACCTAAGGTTGACCAAATTTCAGACACATGAACCTCATATCACGTTTATTCAGTAATTGGCGTAATGTTTCAGTTTTATGTAAATTTTGTTCAAAAACTATTGCGGTGGGTATACGATCTTGTCAAGGCTAGCTGTATTCCAGATAACACCTATGTATTGAAAAAGTAGACTGCATACCTGATTGTAACAGTGAATTCTGTGCTCGGTGAGAGAGTCAGTTGCCCAAACCGTTCTAAAAGGATGATTTTAATTCTTATGAAGGATCATGTTATTATCTAGATCAGCAATCTGCAAGGGAGACTTAACATTTTGCAGCCTCAGATCATTGAGACGCTGGAAGCTCTAGTGGACCCCAAGCTACTGTCTGTGGATAGAAGTAAAGTACACATTTTGCTACAAAATGGCAAGAGGTAAATAAGAGTAAGCAATGGAGAGCATAGCTGAACTTCAGAAAATAGTGTACAATATACATTTCCTAGAAAACTTTGCTTTTGAGTTGTGCAACTTATTTGTCATTGTAAATTCAAATGTATGAACTATCTAGTTGGGAAAAAATGAAATCCCACTTTGGGATTTGTAGTTTACCTTCTAAAACTGTGTATAATGCAAAAAAATTAATACTAGGCAATTTAATATGTTCATTGTAATGTAAAATCAAGAGTTCAAACCACTCTTCAAACCATTTGAGTACACGTGAACTTATTGGGCTATGCTATGTGTCAATACAACAGATGATACAATTGTCTGAATCAAATTACTTGTTTCTCAGAGTGCTCATGAACCCTTGAAATATGCCCAGAATACACCGCTAAATCCTTTTCAGTTAAGGTTTTGGTGATTTGGGGGCAGTTGGTCCCAGACTGGACCAGTACCGTGGCTAAATGCAAAATGGGGATTTACATTTTCTAAGAAACTCTTCCCCATTGACTCATTCTGGCAAGATCCAGGGAAAATGAAAATATTACCTCTCTACAAAAATGCAAATGGGATTGCCTGATTGTTTATGCCTGTTTGTTTTTTCTTTAGTTTGTCAGAATTAGAAACAGATCTTAAAGTTTTCAAAGAAACAATCCTGGAAATTTTAGATGAAGAGGAATTAATAGAAGAGCTCTGTCTAACTAAATGGACAGATCCACAAGTATTGTAAGTAAAGTTGGGTAATTCAGAACACTTTTTAAAATGTCTTGTCCAAAGTCAATCTGAATACCAGATTAGATTGCTTCTCTCCTCTCCCCTCAAAAAAAAATCTATACAATGTTTTTAAACCATAATGCTTTACCTCTTTTTAAAAGGTGTTGTACCCCATCATCGCAGTGTGAGCATAGTGTTAGCAGCATTACTGATAGTAGGGTGGAAGCATCGAAGATGCTGCTTCATCCGCTGTTTGACTTAGCTAGCCAGCCTTGGTGAACAGGAGATGGAAAGGGGAGGAAAAGACAACCATCACTGAATGGGGAAACAGAAGGAGAAATGGAAATGTCAGTTTCCAATTCAGACAAAACTTTTAAGATAGGTTTTTAGGGAGGAAAAAACAATATTTCACAAATGAAATAAAGAACCCCACTTACAATTTGTCTGCGGTGGATCAGTTGCCCTACCTCCGTATATAAAAGCTGGCATGCTATCCTTGAAGTTTACTTTGCCCACTAGCAGAGCTCCCCTGATGGACATATAACCCCACAGTAGTAGCACTGTTTTCACAGCCACTATAAGTACATAAATTAGCATCCCAAGAGAACCGTACATGTCTGAAATAGCCACATGACATCGCTCCTGTGTGCTGATACAATATCATGCGCACATCAGTGGCCACTCTAACAACAAAATAACCAACCATATGTCCCATATTGATGACAAGCTGCTAGTCTGACCCTTACTTAAAAATCCAGGGCATATTGACTGACTGGTATATCTGACTTGAAGCTAAGAGCAAACTGGCTTCCTGCCTCAGTTCCCATGTAAATAATGCCAAATGATAGTTACACCCCACACTTCATGGCAAGTTAGTATTATTTATACAACACCAAGTGCATGATATAGCTCCCCTGCCCTGCACAGCTTCAAATCTAAATAGACCATAATTATCCAAAAGGTGGGGTGTGAAGGGATGCATTGTGTAAAATCAAGAAGTGTACCTAAGAAGGCATGGAAGGAGCCGGACGTGAGGTGTATTGATGCCATCAATGTACTCTCGTACGTTGACTCCAGCATTGGTGCTTGTAGACAGAAAGCTATGTTAATCATATCTTCACGCGGAGATGCAGCCAAATGTCAAAGACTTGTAGGACAGAGGGAGTGTTTTTTGGAGAGGTGGTAGAGACTAATTCATGAAAGCAAAGGTGTTGGAAGCTACTTTTTAAATCCTTTGGGTCTGTTGGTCAGTCTTCCTGTTTCTACAGCTATAGAGGAATGTAAAGGCATTCACCATCAAGCCAACTAGAACTGGATTTGGGGTGCTTGGTACAGACCATGTCAAAGCACTTTGTGCCTCTGCCACCAGAAACTGAAGACGTCTAAGACCATAGCCACCCCCTTAGGTCATGCAACTGAAACCTCTAGGTTTGGAAAGTTCTGAAGTGAACAGCCAGTCTGCCTCAAAGGGACCCTCTCTTTAGTAGAGAGATTAGGGTCCTTTTATCACTTCCAGTGGCCTAGTTACCTCAGACACATGAGTCCTTAGGCACGGGTCTAGTTTATGGAAAAACCGCTTCAGAGAGACTTCTTTAAATTGCTCCTTGATCAGGTAAGCAAGTTCAACAGTATCCACATGAGACATTGGAGGGTATCCAGTTCCTCCTGGCAAATAGTGCAGTTAAGGTCGTGTCACTGGGTGAAGAGAGGGATGGGGGTTTATTCCAAGTTCTCCTTGACATCTTAAAAATACAAGAGGCTATCGTGGTTCTCAAAGACCTCACTGTTTGCCTAGTCAAAAGAAAGATCCAAAAAGATAACTCCAGAAACCTGTATGCCTGTTGTAGAGAAGGTGACTGGCTAGGTGCTCTGGGCTTTGTGGATGCTACCAGGCACCTATGATTCATCCAGTAGGATTGAGATCTCTCAAACTTCAGGAAGGGGGATAGTGGCAGCAGTTTCACATACTGACTGTTGGGCTGCCGTCATCAGTTCCTGTGTCCACAAAATGCTGCAACTAAAATGCTTCAGTTATTGTCGATGTGCAACTAAAAACACGTGTAAGTGCCAAGTAGATTTCAATTTTATGTATATAACTTAGACCTCACTGTATGGGGGAACAGAAGGGAGTGTTAACAGCATCACTGTCAACTTCCACCGTTTGAGGGCACCAGAAAATTAACAATCTCCCTTAAAAATGTCACAATGTGATGCTGGGACACTAATATTTATACCTTGCCTGTGCATGTTTATAGCAGGGCAAATATTACCCATTTTACTGACCAAAGTAACTGACTTTTGCTCTTCAGCTAATAGAAATTGGAAAAGCATGTACCTTCTTTTCCATGACACTCTTTTTGTAACAGCAGAATCCATGTGCCTAATTGGATTTTGCAGCATTGTTGTCAAACAGGACTTGTGGAGAGTTTTTCCCTTGTCACTTCATTCTGGGCCCATGCTTCAGAACATGTAAACGCGTTGTTGATAAGTGCATTGCTGATCCCTAACTAGAAAATATAAATTGTTGCTCACAGTGAGGAGAGCATGTCTGGAATTGACCATGCAGAGGAAATGGAGCTGCTGCTGGAGAATTATTACAGACAAGCCGAAGATCTCGCTAATGAAGCACGTGAACTCAGAGTATTGATTGATGATTCCGAAAGTATCATCTTCATCAACCTGGACAGGTTAACTATCCTTATGACACATACTACTTGTTATACTGTCAGAAGCTTTGCAGAAATGTATGCTGTTTTACCCTTTTTTGAATTGGAGTCTGAGGGCAGACATTGGGAACCAAGACTGGGAGGCTCTTATTCCTTGTGGTTCTGGGAAGGTAATAGTTAAAAGAAATACCCAGATGTTCATGGGGAAAATATAACTTATTTATGAAGAATTGCTATGTAATGCAGCAAAACTGACACTTGAATTGACTCTTAAATGTAGGTTGCACTTAAGTGTTGGTGTCTACCTTCAAGAGTATGCCCCTGATGTTTCTGGATCACATCTTCTGCTATCCAATAAATGTTGCATCCACACTAAGCATGATGATACAGTAATCAGCTTAGTTTGCATCAAATATTTAGCTTTTATTAAGACTAAACTATTGTAAATAAAAAGGCTGAAATTTGTTATTACGCACTAATCAACTTTCAGTTTTCTGTATTTAAAAATAATTTATACAGTCTTAACATCTTGAAGTGTATCAGATAAGCCATTGTTGAAAAGCAGTGTATGATATTCTCTCCTCCTCCTTAAATGGGGAGTTACCACAAGAAGCATTCAGAGTGGACACTCCCATCAGGAGACCAGCAAAAGTTGAGAAGAGGTGGATGTGGAATGCCCCAGAGTAGACTCTGCTTTACAGTCCACAGTATTTTCTGACCCTCTGCTTCTTTGTAAGTATACTTGCAAGGTAACAGTAAATGTTTCTTTTAAATAGTCATTTACAAATTCCTATAGTTAACGGTAAGAAAACAAAAAGAAACAAAAGTTTCCATAAACTTTTACTGTTACTTTACACACATATTTATAACAGGTGTGACCAGATGTCCTAGATCCTGCTGATTGCAAAGCAGAGTCTGCTTCCTGAGAGGTGCATTGCTGCTGCAGTTTCAAAACATCTCTTTGGAGAAAAATCACCTGATACACTAGCTCTTGTTTCTGTGTTGCTTAATACCGGTGTGAGTTGCTCCGTCAATTGTTCTGATGTAGTGCATGCTGCATAAAACTTTTACTAGACAGCAAGTAAACATCTGTGTTCATCTCATAAATCTTTCTCCCTTCTTCAGCCACCGTAATGTGATGATGAGACTGAACTTACAGCTGACCATGGGGACTTTTTCTCTCTCTCTTTTTGGACTGATTGGAGTAGCCTTTGGTATGAACTTGGAATCCTCCTTTGAAGAGGTGAGAACCAGTGCTGCTTTAGAATTGATTTTATAACCACTGACAGACAACACGGGTACCAATGCACTGACTTAACCCAGGTTTTCTGTTAAGTATAACACTCTTCACTGATAAGACTCCAGTTTTATACTGGTGTAAAGCGAGAGAATTGGGCCCACTGATTCCAGCTTTAGTGCAATGACTTTCTTTTGTCATGAATTAGTTCATGGCTTGTTCAGTTATGACTCTGCTGCAGGATATTCTTCTGGATGATCAGGAAGAGTAATACTCCAGGAGGAAAAGGGAGGACAATACTGTACTTGGGCATGGTGGCTGACAATAGGCATGGTAATGTTCAGCCATTCATACTTCTGAAAGGTCTTGGAGTTTGTATTAGAGTCACTTTCATATGCAAAGGTGTAAATCAGTTAAATAATTTTCTAGACTTCATGGTGGAGCCATGACTCTACTGTAAATTATTTAATTACACTTACATTGCTGGTAGCTGTCACACTTACATGCATTACCTTAAAAAGGAAGAGATTTCTTCTTTCTCCTTCCTTTCCTCATCGCCGCCTTCACACACAAAAAATGAGGTGGGGGGAAATCTCTAAATTCTTGGTAAAAACAAGAGCTATCTTCGAAAGGAACCATGCTTGTGGGTTAGTGTGGTAGTGAGGAACACTAAAGTGCAGAGACCAGCACACCAGTGCTCTGGAAATGATGGTGTATCAAGTGGATCACTTTGCCTTGTAATAACCCAGAGTCTCAGCCAACCTTCCCCAGCCAAGGAAGTTCACCATACTGTGGAGCCTTTGGAGGGGATGGAGAGGGGTTTAAATTAGAGGTGTGGGAGGGAATCCACTGAGGACCCTTCTTCCACAGAAAGAGCTGCATGATTAATGGCTATTTTTTCCATTGTTAGGACCACAGAGCATTTTGGCTGGTGACAGGGATTATGTTTTTGGGAAGCGGCCTTATCTGGCGGCGTTTACTTTCATTCCTTGGACGGCATCTAGAACCTTCACTACCTCCTCAAGTACGTATGGTTGGCTAAAGAGGTCCACTGCGTTCTGTGTGCACAGTACCACTGCTACTTCCTGTGTTCAGTGTGTACTGTGGAATTTGTAATGGATGTGATCAAGGGGGGGTGGACGGGGATACAACTTCCACTTTTATGGAAGTAATTGGTGAAATCCATATCCCCCAACTTGGGAAGGTAGTGTAGGGTAGGCTTCCCTAAACAGGCATTGTGGGAGCACAGGACAGGGCAAAGGAAAGTTGTGACACCTAAGATGCACTGCTTCACCCTGCAAGTATTTGCTGCTGCCAGAAGTGACGAGGCAGGCAATCCCTTGAAAGCTGCCCCTAGTGTAACTGGTAACAGGAGCGGCTCACATGTACATGGCCACAGCCATCCTTTCTCTGCTTCTATGGCACTCAACTCAGCCATGCTGCTGTTCCACTCCCCCCCATCCCACCCACTCGTCCCTACCCCTCACCCAGATGTAGCTTGGTGCTGGAGAGGGGGAGCTATAAACAAGTCCCAGATAGAAAAGATCACAGGGGGGAGCTGGGTGGGAAACAAGAACAAAAGACTAGACTAAAGAGCAAAGAAAAAGAGAGGGTGGCACTTGTGCTGGGGCCAGGGGAGCAGCCTGACCCTCCAGGTACTTGCAGCTGTTCCTCCTCCGATGCACCCCAGAATCCTTTGTGCTGACTTTCATAGCTTTTCAAAGCTTGATGGCACTTCAAAGGAGGCTTCCTGAGAACTGGCTAGCACTTGTATGCTCCATGGCCCTTTTTTGTTTTTTTTTAATTATTTTTTTTTTTAATAATCATTGGCTATTATGTGACTTGCCTAGGTGCCCACGTTGCTGAAAAAAACTCATCCAACAGCTGGAAGAATTGAAGTAAAAAATGACCTTAAAACAGAAGCCTTTATGTCAAGCAGAAGCACGCTGACCAATCGATAGAACCGGAGAAAGCAACTGGCTTTTTTTTTTTTGTTACATGGCGAACTGTACACACACTTGCACACCTGTTTTCCTTATAGTAAAAATTAAGAATTTTTAGTCATAGAATGTCAATCTATATCTTATGCACAAAAATGTTTTTAAAGTTGATATTTTAATGGCACAAAAGTCAGTAAATGCAGAGAGAAGATTCCCAGAGGATACTTAATTTTTTTTCTCATGTGTTACAGTAGAGGATTTCGCTAGACTACAGCATGATGCACAGCTTGCAATTTCAGGCTCTTACAGTTTGAGGTCTTCCATCCAAGGACTACTCAGGCCCAGCCTTCATTAGTTAGGCATTGACAAGATTTCAGCCTAGGGCAGTAGTGCTAAAGATAGAGGCTAACATTAAAAACAAAAACTGCTATACTTGTCCTCAATAGCAGCTGGTTTGATTTTTGAAAATCAGGCTACTCATTCAGGAGCTGAGAGATGGAATTAGGAGCCAAACTTTAGGCTTTTAATATAGGGTGGTTGGTTTTTCCTTTTTAGTTTTTCAAGGTTGTATTCACTCTCTAGAGAATAGGATACCAGAAGCAGGAATCAAACTCACATTTCTTGCAGAGCACTAAACGGGCACAGCCAGACCAACAAATACAGAAAACTGCTTTATTTCTATTAAATGAAAAATAAACAAGTTTTGAATGTCCAGTGCTCACCTCTTCAAAGACTAATCAGGCCCAAATGGGTTTTTAAAATCAGAACAGCACGCCCTTTCAGACTGGTAACAGATGCACATTTCAAGCATGAAATCACTGCCCTTTCGGTTGTAACTGACTAGATGTATTTACATGTGTAGTATATCAGTTCCTTAGTCGATTAGTAAGAACTTACCTTAGGGCCTGATCCAACTCTCATTTAAAAAAGAAAAGTCAGACTTTTTTCCTGACCTGACTTGTTTCCTTTCATCTCTTTCTGAAGACATAGATGACCAGGATCATGAAGTATACTGCAGTTGTCTTGCAGCTGGTTTTATTACTACACAGGTGGGTGAGATTAGGGGCAAATGTGGGATGAAAATTGTCTGCAGGTCAGGGGAATGGGAGGTAGTAGCAAAGTTACGTAACTAAGGGATACAAAGATCAGGTCTGACTATCAAAAAAGTGCTGATTTGCTTCCTGCAATGGTGGAAGAGAGTTAAATGCCTGCTACTTCCACCCACCTGCTATTTGCCTCTCTTGAGGGCCTTACCCCACTGTGCAGAGTGACTGTAAAACCCTTCTAGATCAGAATGGGAACACAGACAGCTGTGCCAAGTACAGGAAGGTAGCTCTTTAGCCAGCAACTTAAACATTGTGTAAACCACTGCCCACCAGACAGGCTGAAAAATGTATTGTAGCAGCAACAGCATAATTAAGTGCTCAGGTGAACAGAAAATGGAAACTAAAGAGTTCAGAAATTGTTATACTTCTGCAAGCCTGTGGTCTTTCAAAGTAAAATCCTGTGTGGCATCTAATGATTATCAACTAATTGATTTAACTTTGTGTATCTTTACACTTTCAAAGCATAGCATCTTACAAGATAATGCATTGTTCTTTCTCTATATTTTACTTTAAAGGTAGCAGGGGATTGGATGGCAGTTGAAATCCCCAGTGGCCAAGTCATTACCATTTACTGGTTGTCAAGTAACTTTTAGGAAGTGGTTTGGTCTTGGCCCAGCTCCTAGTGGGGAAACTGTTCACAATATGCAAACACCCATGAGGCTGAGGACTAGTGTTGGCATACCCAGAGAGGGCAAGAAGTGAATGGGTATGGATACTGAGGTTCTGACTTAGGAAATGATCCCTTCAGGTCATGGTTTTGAAATACATTGACAGGGCTATTGGGAAAGCTTGCATTGTTGCTTCCCCACCTGTATTTTCTCTGCAGCTACAGGGCATTATTTTGACTCCTTTCATCTGTACTTAATTGACTTATGTACATTAAAAGCATTTAAAATAAGACCACTAGTTCTTTTACAGGGCTGCACCATGTCATAGGAGTTCCCCAAGTCCAGAAAACCATTGTAAGTTTAACACCTGGCTCATTCACACTGCAAAATGTAGGTGTGGTAACAGAATTCTGAGCTCAGAAGTGAGAAACTGAAGCCCACTGTGGCTGATAAGGTTTTGAGTGAAATTGCCACTGAACCAGACCTGTAAACCCCAGTAGCAACTGATTCAGCGTTTACATTATGTGTAGTTGACAAAGCTGCACTTCATTTGTAATACGCAGGACTCTCAAATAAAACGCCAACTGGTTTTATCCTTGTGTTTGGCAAATTGACTTCTTTGGTTTTGCTGACTAAACGGTATGAAGAGTCTGTTCAGCTTGCATAGACTTCACTCATTTTCTTTACAACACAATTGACCAAAAAAAGCCTAGTGTTTTCTAGGGCTGAGGGGGAAGAACCTAAATAAGGCAATTCCCAGCTTGTCAGTCTGCCTCCTACAATCATTTGGGCTCTCCTACACCTGAATGGCAAGTGCAGGATGGTTCGGCATCCTAACAGGGAAGGTGTTAAGAGCAAGAGTCAAGAAGGAAAAAGCGAAAATAATGGCCTAGGGGAGGGAAAGTGCACTGCATTCAGCTCATCTACCCTGATGCCTTCTAATTCTCCAGCTACTCCTTGATTTCCATCACTTATCCAGAGAGCATTTTAAAGTGGGGGTGTCCTTTTCTTTTCCTATTTTATCAAAACAAATTCCAAACAGTTACAGGTTGAAATGTTCAGCACAACATGCTCTCTTATTTATCTCCACAGAGCCCTTGTTTAAGTACTTTCTCCTCCTCTCCCTCCCTCCCCATCTCTTCATTTATGCTGTCCAGCTATCAGGTTCTTGCTAGCTCTGATGTTTATTGCTTTATTTAGGCAGGTTAAAACAATTATGCCCAGTATGGATGCCATGGCAAATGATGATGTAGTAAAAAAAAAAAGGCATAAATGTAAAATTCAGCTTTTAATCTTCTGTTTTAATGCTAGAATTATCAAGAACTGGAAGAGTCTTTAAAACTGCTTCCTGAAAACATTGAGAAAGTAGGAAAGATTTTTTGACTTTGGAAAATATACATAAGAGGATGATTACTGTTTAAAATTCTCCAGTACTTTGCTACTTGCTTGTAACACACACAAAAAGTTAATCATAGTGTCATAACTTCTGACCCCTCCCCCACATATACACCCCCCAATGGTTGTGGACCCAACCCACAAACAACGAGATCATATGCTGTTGCTTAAGTATGTTGTTTAATTGTATATGGATACATGCTCAGCATTAACCAACCCCTTCAAAACCACAATACTCATGAGTAGAACACATAATATAATTAACAATAAGAGCAGGATTTTAACTTACCAGAGTCATTGAATTCTACATAAAAACATAAGGAACAGTCACCAGTAGAGTCCAACCTTGAGCTCCTTGCCCTTCTCTTCCCCTTGAAGCAGATATCCTGCTTCCTTAACACATACCTCCCCTGAGACTCTCAACAGGCACGTGCTATCCTTAAGGATGCCCTAGGCCTGCGCTCTACCACCCAGGTGCCGCTAACCCTTTGCAACTGCCCACCATCAATCTATCAGGCATACCTTTCTAGCACAACTTCAGCTGTAGTGAAGTCAGCACCAAGTATCAATGTAACATTCTAGGCAGGTAGCATACTTTCTTTCAGATAAACAACATACTGTCCTGGCTTTGTGAATGGGGTACTCCTATCTGAGCTGTGTAGAGTGGATGGGACAAAAGTGGATGTGTGGATTGTTGGCCGAAGTTGGAGTCTCCCGCTTGTCTCAGGCGGTTGAATACAGGAAGTACAATGGGATTTCTGGTTCCTAGCAGAAGGGGAGGGTGGATGGAGTAGATTATATTTCGGCTTCAGGATTGGTGATTTCTGGACTGCAGTTGGAAAATAAAACGCAAGGTTGTGGGATAAGGAGCAAAGCTGAGGAACTGTCTTTCCATGGAGGATAAAGCAGCAAGACAGCAGATGATCTGGTCCAGCAGAGCCACGTAGTGCAATGCTGTTGGCAGACAATCACTGCAGTGCCAATCTATCCAGCCCAGAGAGCATTACCCTAACACAAGAGGGTTGCACGTGTGCTGTTCAGAGTCCTACGCCAAGTCCTTATCCCTGCTGCAGGCATAGAGCTTGTAGCCAGGGTGCTGCTACCCTGTTTCCCCGAAAATAAGACAGTGTCTTATATTAATTTTTGCTCCCAAAGATGCGCTAGGTCTTATTTTCAGGGGATGTCTTATTTTTCAGAAATGAAAAATGCCTTATTATCGGTGGATGCCTTATTATCGGGGAGGTCTTATTATCGGGGGGATGCCTTATATTACAACGAGAGGCAAAACTGTAAGTAGGCCTTATTTTCGGAGGATGTCTTATTTTCGGGGAAACAGGGTATGTTGGTCCTTGGATGTGGTTTAGTCCTTTGGGGCACTAAGCAGCCAGTATAAGGCTGCTGGAAGACAAGGAGCAAAATGTGGTGCAAAGATGAGCTTAGTTACCTATGCACCCCCTTTGTACCTGCTCTGTCTGCAGCGTGCCTGGACCACCACATCTGACCCAAGCTTCTAGTGTGTCTGGATGATAAGTGGGTGAGCTGGAGAGCAGTGGGTGCTGATTGGAGAGCTTGTTGGCTGTATTAGAAATGTCCATAATGTAAGGTAGAGGGTATATGGGGAGTGCTGGTGTACAGGAGTTTGGGCAGGCATACAACGGCAGAGTTAAAGGTGTTTGTACACATAAGACATAAGAATGGCCATACTGGGTCAGACCAAAGGTCCATCCAGCCCAGTATTCTGTCTGCTGACAATGACCAATGCCAGGTGCCCCAGAGGGAGTGAACATAACAGGTAATGATCAAGTGATCTCTCTCCTGAAATCCATCTCCACCCTCTGACAAACAGAGGCTAGAGATACCATTCCTTACCCATCCTGGCTAATAGCCATTAATGGACTTAACCTCCATGAATTTATCTAGTTCTCTTTTAAACCCTGTTATAGTCCTAGCCTTCACAACCTCCTCAGGCAAGGAGTTCCACAGGTTGACTGTGCGCTGTGTGAAGAAGAACGTCCTTTTATTTGTTTTAAAACTGCTGCTTATTAATTTCATTTAGTGGCCCCTGGTTCTTATATTATGGGAACAAGTAAATAACTTTTCCTTATTCACTTTCTCCACACCACACATGATTTTATATACCTCTATCATATCCCCCTTTAGTCTCCTCTTCCAAGCTGAAAAGTCCTAGTCTCTTTAATCTCTCCTCATAAGGGACCTGTTCCAAACCCTTAATCATTTTAGTTGCCCTTCTCTGAACCTTTTCTAATGCCAGTATATCTTTTTTGAGATGAGGAGACCACATCTGAACGCAGTATTCAAGATGTGGGCATACAATGGATTTATATAAG